ATTTGGATTGTTTTACCTGTTTTATTTGAATTTACGGTTATTTGTTTATTGCTTTTTATTCCTTCACGCAAACACTATTATTAACTATATAAGCATTAACATATAACATACCGAGCCCCATATCATCTGCCAACAGGCAAGATTTTTCTCTAGACCACTGATAAAGTAACCAGCTGAACGAGGCAACAATATATCAATAAGATACTAGACACTTATGAAAAATGAAAGGAACACACAAAGATCAATAATCAACATACTTTACACCATCTTTTTGATAATCCATCAATTTCCCAGGAATATAGGAAGGTTGTTCTTGGAATTCCCTGAAACCACCTTTAGATTTAATCTTTTTCCCAGGTTTAATCTTCATTGAATTTAAGCGTTCTTTATACGCGACTTTAAAATCTTGGTCATTTGGATCTAAATCTTCTTCCCAAGTGGCTAAAAGGTCAAATATGAACACGTCGAAAAAGTTAGATTATCCTAACATAGATAAAAATAAAATAATAAAGAGGAAGAATAGTTTACCCTCTTCATAAGTTAACCCCTGCCATTTGACATATGCTTGTTTCACTTGATAAATAGACGCCTCTTCCTCACTCTTATTTGCAAACTCTATGTTCGCTAACATCGCGTCATTTTCATAGAAAACATCAAGAACACGATCAACTTTTGTCCATTCGCTCTGGATGACATCCTCTTTTCGCAATGGGGGAAGATTTTTCTTTTTGAAAGAGCGGAATAAACTGGGCGAGACGTTCATCAACCATCGTTCAGAAACCCAATCGACTTTTCGATAGGATCTTTGTTTGAATTTTACGAGGTATCTTCGATCTACGTCGGTTGAAGATGGGTCGTGAGGTGATGATGATGATGTGGAAGGTGAGGATGATACAAATTTTTTCTCATCGTTAACAGTTGTACCATTATCAATTGATGCTTTTGCTACGTTTTTTCCTTTTTTAATTTTGGGGACTACTTCATATGTTAAAATTTTATCTATTTCATAGTCCCACGTGAGGCATTCAATGCACTTGCAATCTTTTCTGTACATTTTGATCCAGCGTTCTAACGATGTATCACTGTTCATTCTCAATTCACCTTTCAACGGTTGAAGACACCGATAATGAGCGGTATAATAGCATCGGTGGCATCGAAAAAATGTCCTATCAAAACCACTTCCAGTCTCAATTGATAGCTTCAACAAGCCATCTTCAACCGAATTTACCTCACTTTCCGAATCATCATCATCATCCTTTTCTTTTTTCTTATTTGCAAGCCTGCTGACTCCGCATTCTAAGCAACTTGGCACCTCTTTGAGACACTTTAGACATTTGAATTTTCTCGCGTTCAAGTTATGCTCCGCGACACATCCACGATGATAAGCACTCGAACAATACTCGCACAGCATAAGTACTTTATCCTGGTTGGCGTATTTGCGATTATTGGTCGCGTTGTAGTATCCCAGCGTATTGCAATGCTGACAGAACTTTTGATGTGCCGCTTCGAATTCATTTTTTGTGTCTGACGAGTCTGAGGAGGACGACTCTGAAATAACAATCCGTTTTTTTTCACGTTTAGGTAATGCAGCTTTTTTTTTTACCTTTTCAACTTCTTCAGTGTCATCCTCCTCCTCACTAATGACCATGTAATCCTCATCTTCTTTATATGAGACTTTTTTCTGTGATACGGTCCGTTGCGAGCGACGACTGCTTCGCGTATTCATTCGCGGTTCCATAACGAAATCGGAATCGTCTTCACTTTCTCGTTCTCTGAGTTTTAAGACCTTTTTCCGCGGCAGAGAAATTGGTTTCTTTTTGGGGACACCAATAACTTTTTCTAGTTGAGCGGTGCGGTTGCGAGTGATTCTGTATGTGCTAGAGACTGATAATGCTGTTTGATTTTTGAAGCCTATTGGGTCGTCACTTTCTTCGCTTACTATTGTTTCTTGATCATCTATATCGAGAATTGTATTTTAAATTTATTTGTAATTTTTTCTTTCCTTATTTTGTAGCGATTTTAGTTTCAACAATATTAGTATTTGCAATTTACCTGAAACACCACCACCAGGTATCTCGATCACTGGCTGTTTATCCTTCGATGATGAAATCTTTTTCACTTCCTCTTGATCCTCGTCCTCGTCATCAGAAATTTCTCGCGGATTATTTTCTTCTTGACCTTTACTGCTATTTGTTTTGGTAGATGATGTCATCGATTTTTGCGATAAAGATTTCTGTTCCTCATTATCACCAGTAGAGACGCGTTTCGAGCGTAAAGATCGCGTAACTCTTACAGACTTTTGCTGCTCGATCGACTCCTCTTCAGACAGCCGCATTCGCTTTTCACGTGTCGTTTTATTTTTGACTGTTTTGTTATTACCGTTTGTCGTCGTCGACGTGGACTTCGACGCACCCGCCGTAGACTCGGTCAATGCACGTCGATAAGACGACGAATCTAAGGAGTAGTTTACGTTACGTGTAGCAGCTCTTCTTTTTGGGCGGCCGGTACTCGAAACAAGGTCCTCAAAGTCTTGGGCTGAGTTCTCAGCTGATGGACCTTCAGATCTGTTTCTTTTTGAAGACATTGCTTTTTTTGATGTTGTTTTTTGTGTATAGATATTTCTAATACATTCACCTTCTCCTCCGTTCTAGATGTAATAAATGTATGACAGAAGGCTTTTGGGCCTCTCGTTCGAATGTATAATTGTATTTGTGTGTGTAAATGCACCCAACCCAAAGAAAAACCCGAAATGATAGTATTTGGTTTCCCTCAGTTTTTTTCTCTTAGTGCAGTTGCTTGCTGTTCTTGGTGTGCCTGGCTAAAATGTGCAATTATTTATTTGGTTATAATTGGCTACAATTATTTATTTATTTATTTATTCGAATATTTTATGCGGCTCGGTTCTGTATGTATACACTAGTACAAATCGAGTTAATCTTATTGATACTCGCGTCATCTTTACGTAATGTCACGTGTATGGTCCTCAGAAGTGCAGAGTTTCTTGGTGTTTGGTTGGGCTTGAATTCGCGCGAGGTGAAATTGAGGCGAGATAATTTCGTAATTAATCAACGGTGAAAAGAAATTCTAATGACACGAGAAAACGGTTTTTTGGTATGAAGCTTAGACGCGTTTTTTTGGCGCAGTTTTTTAAGTAAGTTCGCGTGATTGTGATTGGGTGATGCATTAATTCGAAGAGTCACGAGTATTCCGAAAAACAACATTAGTCACGGTATGTTTTACGAAAAATCTATTTCGAATACTTTATTCTCACAAATTATACGCGTGATAGAATTAATACAATTTCGAAAAGAAATATCCAAATGAACCTGTTTATTCAAAATAGCTTTTTACATATATTATACGTATATAACACGGATTATTATTATATATGTTTTCTTACAAGATGAAATTCATGAATTTAGAGATATTTTTGAATTCTGAAATTAAAGAATTTGCTATCTTACTTTATATAGCTATATCCCCATATGATCATATACTTGAAAAATAATTATATACAGTATATAAAAAGAATAAATAAGTTTTTATATTTCAAATATATATATATATGGGCCAGTGCAAAAAGACTGGAACACCAATATAAAAATCAATAATTGCTTCTAATAAAAATCATTCAAATTTTAACCAATCTTTATAATTTTTTTATGTTAAGTAAAGAATAATTTAAATTAATTTTTTATACTATTTTAATTATTTTATTATATTTTAATTTAATAATAAATAAAGCATTACTTTACTAAAAAAAACTAAAATAAAATTATTTTTTTTTAAAAAAAAAGATAT